CTCCCTCCGTAGCCTGGACGCCGTGCTAGTAGCTGCCTTCGTTCAAACGGTCTTACCTCCATTGGCCCCTGGGCGCTGATTCTGCAAACCCCACTCCCAGCTGAACCCGGCCTCCGCCTCGTCCGGGGTTTGGGCCCCTGAGGACGTCCACACAGCCTGGCCACGGCTCTCCTGCTCTTCCGGATGGACCTGGCTTGGCCGGGGAGGGTCTCGGGGAGGGTCTCGGGGAGGGTTTGGGGGAGGGTCTGGGGGGAGGGTCTCGGGGAGGGTCTCGGGGAGGGCCTGGGGGAGGGTCTCCACGCTCTTCCTCGGTTGGAGCTGATCGCATCCCTCTCCGGGCCCCCTGTGCCCACCCGAGGGCCTGACGGGGGCCCTGCACGTCTGGGGCGTTTCTGGGGCTCCTTCCCGCCCGGCACCGCGTCGCCCGGATTCCTGGCAGCCACACCCCTACCCGTGTGCCTTCTGCCCAGAGAGACGGCCGCTAACGGCTCACTCTGCTTCCCTTTTCCGTGGTTTTGAGAAGTGTCCCCCGGCCACAGGCCAGAGTGAGCATGGCCACCACCTGGCGCACTTTCCTTTCCCCGGACAGACTGCCCTCTCCTGCCCACGATCGCCAGCCCGTCCGGGCCTGGAGCCGTTTGGGCGGAGGAGCGAGTCCCGAGGCGCCGGAGCCGGGCAGCAGGGGCGCGTGCGCGGGGCGCGGCCTCCCGGGGCCAGTCCGGCCGCCGCTGCGCGGGAAGTCGGTGCCGGGAGGGGACGCAAATCTCTGTACGTTTGGAAATTTAGGGGAAACACCCCCAAGTCAACAGCACGTGCGTCACAGAGCAAATCCTAACCGAGATTAGAAGATACTCAGAGCTGAAGAAGCGTAGTTACTTCCCGAAGCTGCGGGGCTCGTTTGAGCAGGACTCCGGCGAGGCCCGGCACCAAGCGCTCATGTGGGAAGGGGCTGCTTGAAAATCAGAAGCTAAGAGTTGCTTGAAGAAGTAGATAAAAAGTAAAAATCATCCCAGAGAGCAGACACAAATTTTAAAAACAAAATTATATTTAATTTAAAATTTTATAAACAAGCTGTAGTTATATGCCAATTATAGCCCCGTAAAACCAGGGGTTGGGGGGGCATAAAAACCAAGCTGCAGTAGAGAATCAATAAAGCCAGAATGTAATTCTTTTTTGGGGGGGGCTTATTTTTTTAAATTTTATTTTATTTTTCTAGGTTGTTTTTTTTTTTACAGTTTATTGTCAAGTTGATTTCCATATAACACCCAGTGCTCATCCCCACAAGTGCCTTCCTCCGTGCCCATCTCCCCCCTTCCGCTCCCCCCAACCCCATCAACTCTCAGCATTCAAGAGTCTCTCATGGTTTGCCCCCCCCACTATTTCCCCCCTTCTTCTCCCCCATTGTCCTCCGTTAAGTTCCTCCTAATCCTCATATACGTGCAAACATATGGTATTTGTCCTCTGCCTGACTTACTTCGCTCAGCATAACACCCTCAAGGTCCATCCATGTTGCTACAGATGGCCAGATTCCATTCTTTCTCATTGCCATGTAGTATTCCATAAAAATATGGAATGCATCACAAATTTGCATGTCATCCTTGAGCAGGGGCCATGCTAATCTTCTCTGTATCGTTCCAATTTTAGTATATGTGCTGCCGAAGCAAGCACCAGAATGTAATTCTTTCAAGAGATGAATGAAGGGGCGCCTGGGGGCCTCAGTCAGTTAAGCATTCAACTTCGGCTCAGGTCATGATCTCACGGTTCGTGGGTTCGAGCCCCGCGTCGGGCTCTGTGCTGACAGCTCGGAGCCTGGAGCCTGTTTCAGATTCTGTGTCTCCCTCTCTCCTGGCCACTCTGCCACTCTCTCTCTCCTTCTCTCTCTCCCCCTTAAATATAAATAAACATTGAAAAAAAAAACTTAAAAAAAAGAGATGAATCAAAAATTTAAAAATTAGCATGATTAATCGAGAAAAGAGGAGAAAATCAGTAAGTCAATATTAGTAACGAGAAAGAGATCACAGCTACAGACCCAGCAGGAACTAAAATGTAAGATGATGTAATAAATTTTAAAACTTAGAAGAAAGATATATTTCTTTAAAATTTTTTTACTGTTTCTTTATTTTTGAGAGAGGAACAGAGCACAAGCAGGGGAGGGTCGGAGAGAGAGGGAGACACAGAATCTGAAGCAGCTCCAGGCCCTGAGCTGTCAGCACAGAGCCCGACGCGGGCCTCAAACCCACGGACCGTGAGATCGTGACCTGGGCCAAAGCCAGATACTTAACTGACTGAGCCCCCCAGGCGCCCCAGAAATAGACATGTTTCTTAAAGTATCATTTTTAAAACTAATAGAAGAACCCTGATGGTCCCTTAACTGTAAAGTAATTGAATCCTAGTTTATAATCTTCTCACAAAGAAAACACCAAACCAGTTGTTTTACAGGCAAACTTTACCAAATTTTCAAGGAATAGTAAATTTCAATATTATATAAACTTTTCCAGAGAAGAGAGATCCTCCCCAATTCATTCTCTGAGGCCGACATGATAACCGGACACCACACCAGACGATGGCATAAGAAAGGAAAATTGTGGGCATTTCATGCGTGAATACACAGGCAACGTCTCTAAACACAATATTGGCCAAATGATCATAGTCAGAATTGGCTAATGAAGGTGGTATATCATAACAAGTGGTCCCCTCCCAAATGCAGAAGTAATTTAACATTAAGGACACCATACACGTTTTTCACTCACAGATTAAAGAATGACATTAAAGCTATGGGGGGGGGAGGGGAAGAGAGAGGGAGACAGAGAGTCCCAAGCAGGCTCCACGCTGACAGCAGAGAGCTCGATGCGGGGCTCAAACTCACGAACCGTGAGATCATGACCCGAGTCAAAGATGGACGCTCAACCAAGCCACCCAGGCGTCCTTCAACTTTATTAAAAGTCTTATTTTTTTAATATTTGTTTTTATTTATGTTGATAGGGGAGGGGCAGAGGGAGAAAGAGAGTCCCAAGCAGCCTCCGCACTGTCAGCGCAGAGCCCACCATCCATGAGATCATGACCGGAGCTGAAATCAAGAGTCCGACACTTGACCGACTGGGCCACCCAGGCGCCCCTGCTGAACGTGTTTCTAAGGAAGACCGGAACCAGCCTAGTGCCGTGTCTGTGGGTAGGAAGATGCAATGAGCATTTCTGGAGAGCCAGTCTCTCCAAATGTATCTCTGGCTTCTGTAGAATTCAGTAAAAATTCCCACAGGGTTTTCTCAGGAATGGGACACGCTGGTTCTGCAATTTATATGCAAGAACAAAAGCCTACGAATAGTTAAGACCCTTCTTCCTGAAGATGTGGTAGTAGCCGAGAATAGACAGCTCGACCAATAGCAGACAGCAGAGAACCGCAGAAAGAGGCCCACGGAAAAGCGGAAGCTGCCACTTATTCCCGCACAGCTGTGGGTCTGAGCCGAGAGGGTGAATGTGTCCATTACTGATCTGGGACGATTGCACATTCAAGTACAAGAACGTGAAATTATATCCTGCTTCCCTCCTGCCCCGAAATACGGGCTAGGTTGACTAGAGACTTGATATGAAAGACAATACTTAAAAACCTTTAAGAAAAAATGTAGAAGAATATCTATGGCCTCAGAGTAGGAGAGGGTTTGTTAAGTTACAAAGAGTTCAATGGAAAAGAACAGATATATGAATCAAGGTCAAGAGCTTATCTGCTTTTAAATTTTTCTTATAGTTTATTTATTTTTGAGACAGAGAGAGACAGAGCACAAGTGGGGTAGGAGCAGAGAGAGAGGGAGACACAGAATCTGAAACAGGCTCCAGGCTCCGAGCTGTCAGCACAGAGCCCGACGCGGGGCTCGAACCCACGAACCGCGAGATCATGACCTGAGCCGAAGTTGGACGCTTAACCAACTGAGCCACCCAGGTGCCCGAAGAGCTTATGTTTTGAAAGATGATGTAAAGGAAGGTAAATTTCAGCCCAAACCTGGGAGAAGCTACTTGCGATGATATAACCAGCAAAGGGCCGAGGAGGAGGGCAGCTCACGTCCGGCCCGCCGCCGGCTTGTACGCTGCCCGCAGGCTCGGGGGCTGTTTCCCTCTCAGTTAAAGTGTTCATTTTGAGGTCGTTGGAGATTCACAGCAATTCAACAAACGGTACAGAGAGGTCGGCTCTTTACCCAGGTTCTTCCAATGGCAACATCTTTTGAAACAGTATCGCAACCAGGATGCTGACATTGATACAGTCAAGATACCAGCATCTCCCCACCGCAGGCTACGTCATGTTGCCTTTTTACAGACACACCCATTCCCTCTCACCCCCACCCCCACCCCATCCCCTGGCAACAACTTTTCTGTTTGTACAATTTCAGGACTTCAAGAATGTTCTATAAATGGGGCACCTGGGTGGCTCAGTCGGTTGAGCGTCCATCTTACTCTTGATTTCAGCTCAGGTCATGATCTCACATTTCGTGAGATCGAGCTCGAGTCCAGCTCCGCGCTGACAGCTCAGAAACTGCCTAGGATTCCCTCTCTCCCCCTCTTCCCCTTCCTCAATTGTGCCCACACATGCACATTCTGTCTCTCAAAATAAATAAACTTTAAAAAATGGATTGTGGGCTTAAAAATGTAAAGTAATGTAACTTTTAATGTTTATTTTGAGAGAGAGAGAGCACACGCACAAGTGAGCAGTGTAGGGGCAGAGAGAGAGGGAGAGACTGAATCCCAAGTAGGCTCCATGCTCAGCACAGAGCCTGACACCGGGCTTGATCACACGAACCATGAGATCATGACCGGAGCTGAAATCAAGAGTCATATGCTCAACTGACTGTCACCCAGGTGCCCCTAAAATAATATAACTTTTAGGGAAAAAAATAATAACAATCTTTGGGATCTAGGGCCAGCCAAAAATGTCTTGAAGAGCCCAAAATTAAGGCCTCCATTAAGAACAACCTCGGGCTGCACGGAGCCCCAGTTCCTCAGACTGTTCAAGGCTGACGCCATCCTCGGACCGCCCTCAGGTCAGCTGATCAAGAAAACACTCCTATGGTCTGAGTCAAGGCCGGGAACTGCAGATACAAACTCGCCAATTTCTCACCGCTTGCCTGAACCCCATGTGGGCCCTTTGAACTCACCTCATAATTGGTCATTTTCAAAGGATTATCAAGAGTCACGATTGGGTCCCATCA